GAAGTCCAAAAGGATTTCAGCCCGGGTTTTATTACCTAACAAATAGATGCTGACAAAATTATGACATTTATTTCTTACACGATGTGTATTTATAGTATCCAGATCTGTCTTTATACGTTTACGTGGCCAAAACCTAAAAGTGGGAGCCCAGAGGCATATTTAAGGATTTCACCACAATAGTCATATCTGGTGTCTGCTGGCGCTGCCGCGCTCCTGTTTTTCCTGCATGAGCAGGGTTAGCGATCTCTGCGATATTACACTCTCCACTTACAGGGTCCTGTGTGCCCCAGATCTGCTGTGGATTGGCTTTGGTCTGGGCATTTGTTCTGCACACATGCAGACGAGTCAGAGTTTTGGTTTCTGCTAGAGTGATGAAGCGTGCAGCGAGACGTTTTCTAACACAAACCATATGGAATTGTTCCTCCTCTGCCTGCCGCGGAGGGGAGCCCATATTTGCACAAATGTCTCAGAATAACTCACATCTGCTGCCTTCAGAGGCCGGTGCTTCCTCGGCCTCAGTGGGGCAAACCCAAGAATAAATGAATAAATCTGAACGAATGGAGCCGTGAGCCGTGGTTAATCTGATGGCGGAGGCGTTTGGGCTGGAGTGCAGCAGCTGAGCTGTCCATCTTGACCTCTGACCTGCCATTGAAAAAGGGCCCTTATTCATCTTCATTTACCTGCCAATAAAGGCGGACCTGACAAATGCTACTATTGTCATTTCTGCCCATTTGTAAACAGTGCAGATGAAGAAGGTCAAGGGGAGAAAGCCGTGCCCTGCGTCAGAGTCGACTCGTGAGCGGAGCAAACTCTGACGTCAAAGCTGTGTCCCTGATGTTCTGCCAAATAAATCACCATTAAACGGTCTGCTAAATTTCGCACTAACTGAATGTGATTTATTAGCCTCCAACACCGACTCCTACAACATCCTGGTCAGATACTTAGTCCTTTATAAATCTCTTTATTGTGTTGGTGGCACCAATCCAAGCACGTGACCAGGTTTATAGCATAGCATATCAGAAATTACCCTGTGAAAAATGTATTTAAAATGTAGCTTTGGGCACCAAGTTAGCAGAAGTAGCTAATAATTTGACAAAATACATTGTTAGCAGAAGTAGCTAATAATTTGACATCTAAAAATACAACCAGAACGTAGCATTTTTAACAGAATTTAGCCAAACAGCATGTAGCATTAGGCTAAAAACACGCTGATGTTTAAGAAAATAGCAACACAATACCATTAAAAAATGATCCATTTATGACCTAAAGCAATCTGAGGATGGTTGGTTCGAATCCCGGCCCTGGCAGAACTGTGGTTTATTGAGCAAGCGAAGCGTTCCTCCTCAGTCAAAACATGTTGCATCAGGAAAAAGCATCATTTTCACCTGTCAATGTGAAAGAGACAGATTTTTCCATGGCATCATGGTCCACTGGACCTCGAGCCAAATGGACCCACAAAAGTGCAATATTTATCCCAAACCCAAACACGCTGCTTCAGGCGTTGAGTTCACTCCGTTTTGTCTTTATATTTTGACATATTTAAAGTTTAGATAAACTGCTCGAGATCCCTCGACAGGAAAACCCAAATATCAACGATTCCAGTCGATTATGTACATTTTTATTGCGGCGAACCAAAATCCTGATTGAAAATATATTCCTGGCAGAGTTTCCTTCCATGCAGCTCGATCGCCCGTCCGTCCAAAGCCAACACTGAGGAAAATAATCACATATCTGTCCTTGAGGCTTCTATCATCTTCTCCTTTTTTTCCCATTATGAAAAGTAACACCAGCCCTCAGGACCTTTAGGGGCTTTTTTCTGTTTATTCTAAATTGTAGAACAATAAGAGATGTTGATGTCGTTTTCCTCTGCAAATCTCAGGCAATCTTCTGCGTTTACTTTAAACCCCTTAGATACACAGTGTAATCAAAGCGAGCGTTTGCCACCCACATTGACTCTGGGGTTCGGCTTCAACTGTATACACCTCCGTCCCCCTGGTGGCGCCCACAAAACCCACATAAGTGGACAAATTTGTCCTTTCCACTCAGGTTATGTTGTCTGTGTGATTTTCCTCTTGTAACTTACCTCACAACTAAAAACAAGATCTCACCGTGAGACAATAGTGTCTGATTCAGCTCATCTGCTGCCGTCGTGTCGGGCTGTCATCAGAAATTGTCCTCCCACCCAAATGCTGCAGCGCAAACAAAAACAAAAAACCCTTCTGATTGTTTCCACAAAAGTGTTTTTTCCTGGGTTTGGCTTTTTTTTTTCTTTTTTTTTGAGCATTCATGGGAAATCAGCAGCTGAGGACAAATATCGGAAAGTGACTCAGAGACTTCCCTCCTTCATTTTCTCACTCTTGTCACTCACACACACACACACACACACGCGCTTGTTTTTGTGTTCTGTGAGTACATGGACCTAATGCGTCCCCCAGCTTTCTACCCAAACTTTAACTATTATTATTAGCTCAAATCTTAATCCTGACCCTAATGCTGATCTAATCCTAATTCTAATCCCAACTCTGTTACTAAATTAGGGCAGTGGTGGCTTGGTGGTTAAGGAATTCAAAGGTTTCAGGTTCAATTCCACAAGTTGCCACTGAGTATTCCACCATCCCTACACACTGCCCCCAGGGCAGTTTGAGCTGCCCCCCCCCCCCCCCCCCCCCCCCACTCACTCTGGTGTTGGGTAAAATGCAGGGGTGACATTTTGTGCTGTGTCACATGACCAGTAGTTCACTTTAAATCTTGACCCTCAGACTACCAGACCTGTATCCACTCCCAATCATCAGGATCCCAAACCAATCCTAATATAAATGAAAATGCTACAAAGTAACTATTTGTTCTCACAAGTAAAGAAACTCCACGCACATATTTCTGGGTCGGACGATGACAGCCAACCTAAAAACCGAGTTAACATAAATAAGATTGTTTTCCCACTCGTTTGGCTCGACTTGTAGCCAGTGAAAATATTTATCCTGGCTCGATCCTTGACTCACTGCGTGCCGTCCATGTCTGGGATCCGTGTTGGTGTTTTGATTTACCCCGTAGACCACCATCTACGACACCATCTGAGCGAAGGAGTCAATATTGAAGGGATTTGAATTGATTTCAGTTTTTCAAGTTTGTTTGAAAACTAAGCCAGCGCTGTGGTGCAGCGGCCTTGAGGGAACGGCTCGGTGTCGTTCAGCGTTATTAATAGCATTAGCAAATCAGATTCCCATTGATAAGGACTCTCCCTCCGAGCTGATTGCTTCACATTTCATTAGCTGCGGGGCCTTTTATGGCGTTCGGATCATTAAGGCCCCCGTCTTACAGCGATTCTAATCTTAGGATTTAATTACAGCATCGTAGGGTGTGAAATGAATCGCAGCTCGGCATCTGAAATATTTCTACTCTCGAAAAGACCTCCACACCTATAAGATCATTTAATATTGGCTAACCCC